ATCTCTCTTATGAAAAAATCCAGCATAACATAGCTCCATTCCCTGACTGCCTTCATTGCTCTTTCAGTAGACCTAGGTAATAATGAAGCTCCCATCAGAGCAGGCTGCGGACATCATCAGGAACAGAACCCCTTCAAGAGGAGAGGTGGAGGGGCCTGCTTAAAAGCAGGTTCTGGGTCTCTGAACCACATATCTCTGGTCCTTTTTTGTCTCTGCATGCAGATCCACACTGGCATCCACACTGACAATGTCAAGAATCAGAGTCTTCATGTGTGTGACCAAAGGGAATGAAGGTAACAACCTCACCACCATTGCTGGGGCCTAATGCCAGCTATAGAGGAACAGACTAGATGAGGCCTTGACAGCTCTGACACGTGTTCCTGAGTAGAAATACAAAGCCTCCAGGGGCAGATCAGGAATGTCAGCAGTTTTCAGAGGCTGCATTCCGTCCTGGGTATGAAAAGGCTCTTGTGGCCTGAGGAACTCTGAAGTAGACAGTGAAATGTAAAAATGTATGCAAGACTGCTTGGTGGCTTAATTAACTAGTCTACTGATATTACCATCAGAAAGAGAGTGCCCTGAGGCAGATGATAGCACTTGTGGGAAAGGAGAGCTTGCTATGGCTGGGAGGAGGGGAAGTGCTGTGGCTGGGATCCTAACTGGAGAGGGGGTCCTTGGGCTCAAATTGACCACCTCCCTTTCAAAGGGGCTCCTCCTGGAATCTGTTACCTTCCTTTGCATGGACTGCCTCTAATTCAAACAATCCAGACTGAGGCCTTCTGTGGATACCAGGGTAAACTGGCCTGTGGCTATTTGGCTTGCCCCACCCCTACCTTGTAGCATCATGTTTTCCTGGATTTTGTATTAGTCTTTAGATTGTTTGTTAATTCTAAATGGGGAAAACAATGTGAGGAGTTTAAAAATAAAATGTACTGGGTTTTTTTTTTAATTATAAAAATAAAACTGATGCTGGAAATTTGAAAAATACAGAAAAATTTAAAAGAAAGTCAGTGATGACAGGGTAAGACTTTGATGTTTGTCCTTTTTGGCTTTTCTCCATACAAACACACTATTATTTAAAATATAGTGGGGATCGCAGCATTTTTCCTCCTCAGTAGCCTGTGTTTTCATTAATGATGCATTAGGGAGTGTTTTTCTTATGTTTGCATATTAACTAGCAATGTAATTGTTAATGGCTGTGTATATGTGATCCTGTAAATGTTGCATATTTTATTTGGCCAGTCCCCTACTGTGGATTATTCAGCTGGTCTTGGTGTAATTCAGAACTTTAAAATAACCAGTGAATGATAAGGGTTAACACACACAGTTTCTGGATGATGCCTATCCCTTGTCACAGCAGAAACAGAAATAGAAGAGACCATGTGCTAATAATGAAAGGGTCCTTCTGCTGCAATGCTCTGGACTCATTCTGGAAGAGTTAGATATGTAATAAATTCTTGTGGGTAAGCAAATCAGAGGATCTATGATTAAGTAATAAAAATAGATCAGGCTCTAGGAAAGGGTCTGGCCACACCCTCCCTCTAGGAAGCTTTCCCAAGTCCATCCTCCCTTCTGACAACTCAGAGAAACTAGCAGAGCCACACTTCTCCAAGGGCAGTGCTGACAGAAGTGGAGCCATGTGTTCAGCTCCCCTCTCCTCAAGCCATGGGCCTAACCCACTCTTTATATACCAGGCCTGGGTTTGAACACCCTGACTATACTATGCTTTTACTTTATTTCTTGAGCCAGTTGATTAATATTACCGCCCCCCCGTCCCATCAAATAACTAAGTGCTAGAACTTTTGCAGTAGATTTCTGTTGAATCCTGCATCAGTAGGAACATTTTAGTATATATCAACTTCTGTTGGCATTTTTCATGTCATTCAAGTATGGAGGATGCTCATGGAGGCGGGATGTGATCATGCCTATGTGCTTGAGGCCTTAGGAGCCTGGGAGTTATCTGCAGCAGAAGCAGAGGTACACTAGACTCCCAGGAGGAAAGGGCATCATTTCCAGAGCTTGTAAAGAAAACTGTACTATAGTCTAAGCAACTATAGTTCAGGAGTCAGGGACCCTGTGAGGAAGCTGAAAAGCTATTAAATGCAAATATTGGTGGGTCATGAAACTAATCGGTTAAAATAACCAAGCAGAAATGTCAGAGAATATCATATGGAGCAAGGTAAGTACTATTTCATGAAACATACATGTCTGGGCATATGTAAAATGTTGGTTTAAGTAACTAAATGTAGGTTTGAGTTTGTAGGTGTGTATGCAAGTATATGATAGATTGAAGTGTTTCTTTTTCTTTTTGTGGCAGCACTGGGAATCAAACCCAGGGTGTTTTACATGTTGGCCAAGAGTTTTCTAATGAGCCATTCCCACAGTTCTTGTTTTCTGAGACAGGGTTTCTCTACATAGCACAGGCTGCCCCTGAATTGATGATCCTCCTCTCTCTACCTCCTGAGTGAGTACTGGGATTATAGGGATACAGCACCATGCCTGGCTCCAAACTGCAATTCAAAAAAATCTGAGGTTGGGACTGGAGGGATGGCTCAGTGGTTAAAAGCACATACTGCTCTTTCAGAGGACCCAGGTTTAGTTTCCAACACTCACATGGCAGCAAACACCTGTCCTTCACTCCAGTTCCAATGGATCTGACACCCTCTTCTGGAATCTGGGAGCACTACACACAGAGTACAGTTAATATGCAGGCAACACACACACACACACACACACACACACACGAATAAAAACAAGTAAATCTTAAAAAGAAAATCTGAGGCAAGCACTGTTTTGCATATCTGTAATCCCAGAACTTGGGAGGCTGAGGAGGATTTCAGGATCCTCAGGAGGATCTCAGGTTCAAGGCCAGCCTGGGCCATATAAGACTTTGTCTGGAAAAACAAACAAAACAGCCCTCCAAAATCTCTTACCATGAGTCATGGTCAAAAGTTTGAAACACTTCTAGATTGACTATTACCCTATAAAAGCTAGATATAAAAAAGTATGATTTTAAAATGAATACACTAATCAATATTAATTTTTGACTCTATAAATTAGAAGATGTAAGTTCCCTAAGCCTTAAATTGTTCCTTTAGTGTTCTTGTTCTTACATGAGAGAGTTGACAGGTTAATGTCTTATGTGATAATCTCATTCTCAGAATTTTTCTTTCTACACTGTGATACTAATTTAAAAGCACTCAGATAAAAGTTATCCTACCTCAGCAGATATGAGGACTAGCACTATTTTAATATGAACACATGAGATTTGGGATTCTAAAAAATAGCCTAGCCGGGCATGGTGGCTCACGCCTTTAATCCCAGCACTCAGGAGGCAGAGGCAGGCGGATCTCTGTGAGTTCAAGGCCAGCCTGATCTATATAGTGAGTTCCAGGACAGCTGGGGCTGCAGGGAGACCCTGTCTCAAAAAGACCAAAAAAAAAAAAAAAAAAATAGCCTAATCCTAATGTAGCAAATGAATGCCAATCCAACAGCTTTTCTCAGACTTTTACCAATAGCCACATCACTAATTTCCTCAGAATAGTTATTGACCCACCCAAGGCATCATTTTTATTATCCGGCTTAGACTACTATATTACCATCTTACTCAAAGTACATGACCATACAGGAATTTTATTGAGGTTAGTTTTATGGCACAAACAGACAACTGATAGAATGATAAGCTAAGGATCCTACAATCTTCCAACTTATCCCTATTTTTAGTGCAGAGCTGTATGGTTTCAGCATAATAAAGTTCTTGGTTTGTGTTTTCTTTGTTTTTAAAGACTTCTGCAAAGCAGATGGTATTTGAAAATACTTAGGATCTTGCTTTAAATTTTCCTGCAATCCATGCCTACATGGGCAGTGACTCTTCATTGTAAAAAGTAAACTTCAGGTTCTTTTGTTGGCATTGAAAAACAAGAAAGCAACTCTGCTTACTACAAACAGCAAGGTAAAGCATAGGGTCTTGGCCAGAGATTCTGGATCCCTCTACTACACTAAAAGTTGGATGACATAAGAGAGCAAAGCAGTGATCTGAAGGCTACAGTACCTATTGACTACTCTAGTTTCCAGCTGACTCAGTTCTCAGAAAGTTGCACACCTGGATTCTCCCTTTTACTTTTGTAGAAATATACCTAAAGATCCTGATGCTCTTGGATATTTGATTAATTTATATCAAAGTTTTCCATGTGAAATGTCATGCTCACAAAATTGTTATAAATGTTTATTGTGGTCCCAGTCTTCTGGGAACATTTTGGATGTAAATATTTTCTTTTTGTTGTTACATGAAAAACTGGGAAGCTCTAGTTTACAGAAGAAATAGCTATATCAACATTGCCCTATCTTCTAACATTTACTATTGAAGACTCTAGTCACTAAGTGACTCAATGTTTCAGAACAAAAAGTGTTCAGCACTGAAAAGGACAGGTTTCTTTCTTCATTAAATGGATATATTCTTATATCACTAATATGAACTAATTCATTGTTACTCTTTTTAAACTGGTTTCTAGAAAGCTCAATCCTAAATTTGCTCAACTGTATCAGTCCAAGTTATCTACTACATTGCTGAAGTTTATCACTGAGATCAGTTTCATTCAATAGTTTTGTTACATAATACAGCCTATAATACAGAAAGGTCATTATAATATAGTCCTGCTTTTCTAAAAAATTCATTTATTCATTTTATCATTCTTAATCCAGTTTATTTCTAAATGTCATAGGCTGTATTATTATTATTATTATTATTATTATTATTTTTGAGACAGGGTCTCCCTGTAGCCCCAGCTGGCCTGGAACTATGTAGACCAGGTTGGCCTTGAATTACAGACATCTGCCTGCCTCTGCCTCCCAAATGCTAGGACTAAAGGCTTGTGCCACCATGCCTGGCTGTTTTAATTTTTTAAAGTTAACAAATTTATGTAGTTTAATCTGATCAGAAGGAAAGGACTTATCTGCTGACAGGACAAGATGATTTATTATAGCAATGAATCAGGTCTTACCTGAATGACCTCAGCATTCGATAGGACTTTCCCAAATCCGATACTCGTCTGCAAAATGGACCCACAGCCAATTCCATCTGAAATATGCAAAGGTAGTCCATAGCTTTTTATGTCAGAATCTTACAGTTAAATGTGGGACATACCCTCTATTTGTTAGTTCTTCTTTGTTGTGACAAAATATGTTGTTCATATCTAATATGAACAACTTAAGAGAATAAAGACTTATTTTGGCTCACAGTTTCTGAGGTTCCAGGCCACCATGATGGGGAAGGCATGGTGGGGCAAAACAGCTCACCTATGGTGCCCAGGAAGCTGGGAAAGAATGCCTATGCTAATGGGTTTTCTCTTTCCCTTGTCATCTAGGGCTTAGCTATGGATGATGAAACCCACATTCAGGGCAGGTCTTCCTCCCTAACTATCTCTGCAAATGGCTCATAGGCATACCTAGAGGTGTGCTTTATTAATTTCTAAACCATTCTCAATCCAATCAAATTAAGTCAAGATTAACCATTCTAATACCTGAGTCACAAAAAGTTGTAGCTTTTTAAAACTTAATGTTAACTGGACTATGAAACAAGTTTAGAAAGCTACTTAGATTTATTAAAAAGGAAAGACTTAAATAATATTTACATTTAATTACTAAAGAGGCCCAAGAGAAGATATTTTGCTGTTGTTAAATAAGAAGAGTTTAAATTATTTCTCAACTGACATAAGGAAAAAGGTTTTCCAGACTGTGTACCTATATTCTAAGCAGGTATGATAAGTCTTTTTATAGTCAATATAATTAATGAGACTTTTTATCAGTCATTATGGCCCAAGTGATTACAAGCTTTCCCTCTGGAAATTTCTGACCATATATGTGGCATAATTACAGAACCATAGTTACTACTAACAGGGCCTTGAATAAGTTACTTAACATCTCTCAGTCTTAGGTTTCTTATCTGTAAAATGGAGATGATAATATCTACTTAACATAATTACATAAATTGAATAGATAAACCCTAACTGCATGGCATATAAGGGCTCACTAAAGTCTGAAACTGGATCTGGAGAGATGGCTCAGTGGTTAAGAGCACTTGCTGTCCTTACAGAGGACCCAAGTTTGGTTCCCAGCACCCACATCATGGCTCACAATCATTTGCAACTCAAGTTCCAGGGATCTGACACCCTCTTCTGGCCTCCACAAGCACTACATGCACATGTTGCACTTACACACATGCAGGCAAATCATTCATACACATAAAATTATTTTTTTAAAGGCTGAAATTATCAGTATTTAATTTTTTTCTCATTTAAACTATTAATCTGCCCTGATGCAAGAAATTAGTAAATGTTAGTTTTACTCCTCTTTATTTTCCTCCTGATACTGGAAATTCTACTTGTCATTAATTGGCTACTGGTTATTTATCTACCAGGTGCACATGCAAATTATTTGCTGGTACTCAAGATGATAAACTTGTCCTCCATGTTGGCTAAAAATGTGCATGCTGGTAAAAAAGAGTTTAGAAAATGGCTAAGAACAAGCTGTTCCCTGATAGTACAGTATCTTTATTCAAACACTTAAAAAGGTGCCTTCACAAAGTTTGCTAGCCATATGAAACTGCTCAAATATCCTTGCACACTCATCTACGAAGTACCTTCTACTCCCTACTCATTTCCAGGTACTGAAGCACACATGGGGATATGGTGATGAAGTAGAAGTAAATTTGTCTTGCCTCTAAGGAACCTCTCAAATTTATTGAAGAAAAGGATTTATTCAAATAATGTAACTATTCAATAAGATCATGACAACAAGGAAATAGTGCTTTCTAGACAGCCAGTCACTTACTCATATGAATTCACAGCAATAGTAATAGTATGTACAAGACCTATGTAAGCTTAAGCCAGACAAATTCTCAGCATAGAGGAGGGAGGTGGGTAAGAAGCCCCAGCCCTAGCTGAGGAATTATAGACAAATGATAGCTTCTGGGAGAGGGAGAGTCCATTTTCTTTAAGGGTGTGACACTGAGTAGGTTGATCATGCTTTAGTGGATGGACCCATATTGAGGGATATTTGGAGAAACAAATTAGGCCTTTAAAAAAAATAGAGAACGTGAAACAGAAATCAGGTAGGGGTGAGTAGGAAGGTGGGGTATAGATGGGGGAGGGGGTATAAATATGATCAAATTACACTGTATGAATTTCTCAAATTTTTGATAAAAATATTTAAAAATAATAAATTTTTGAAAAGCCTAAAAAATTATTCCAATAATGTAACTATTCAGTAAGACCATAAAGCACCTATAAATATGTGTGTACATATACAAATATATATGCACAAATATCCTTCTTATGATCCTGTTGGATAACTGTATTATTTAAATAAAGGCACATATGCATATAAATACAGACAGAGTTATCATTAAACAAAATGGTGAGTGCTAGTTCAGAATGTATGCCCTGAGTGTTGAGAACTGAGGGCAGCTTCCTTGAGAAGCTTTAAAATTAGTAGCCAGGTTAATGTCTCTCTTCCAGTATAGAGGATATAGGATAAACACTGTATATCTTTTGTTGTTGTTGTTGTTCTTTTTGAGACAGGGTCTCCCTGTAGCTCCAGCTGGCAACACCACACCAGGCTTTAAGCACTGTTTATCTTAAGGGGAAAATCTCACTTGGTTAAAAAACTCTAAAATACAGAAGACTGAGTAAATACAAAGAAAAATTGAAGAAAAAGCCAGGATTCTGCCGACAATTCAAAACAGAACAGCTGGGAGCCAGTGTTCTCAAACCCTGTAGACAGGAGTGCTGCGCTGTTCTTTGAGCCCTAGGTAGTTTATTCACTAGGCAGAGTCTTCTGGTTTCCTTCAGAATGCAACATTTATTTCACACTGAGCACAAAGAAAATATGTGATTAGCATGTATCTTTGATTTGCTAATTCTATTTATATAACTAACTCTGGTATGTATATAAAGGTTTCCAAGCAGATTATACAATATACCTGTCATGAAATATTTTGGTTGCTTTTATCCTCAGTCACTATAGTGCGTCCACTGTCTTCAAAGATCAAACCAAGCAATCTTTGGTCTAGCTCTTGCAGAGGACTAAATGTTAAAATAATTAAGTCGCTAGAGAAAAATTACTATATGAGCAATTCTGACTTCAAATGTCTATGAAATCTATGAAGCAGAAGATTGCTATGCCACAGGACAATTTCAAAAGGTTAAATGTTTAAGATGAATTTTTCATCTATAAAGAACCCCTAGGGCATTAAAAATCATTTCTTTTAAACAATGAAGTTCATGTTTTAAAGAAAGGAATATTCTTTGAGAGGAGGTGAGTCTGCAGTGAGCTATGGATACTAAATGATATGTACCTAGCTTCTCCCCAGCCCTACTGAAGAAATACACCCCGCTACAGGCTGGTGCACTAATTACTAGCAGCTCCTCAACCATTAGACATTTGGTTAACCACAGAGCCTCTCTGAATATTCCTGGGGCATTCCTGCCTTGACATTGTTCAGGAGAAGACAAGGCAATAGGAATCAGAACTGAAATGAGAATTTTGCTTTCTTTTCTAAATTTACATTTTTTAGACAACATGGGAAAGATAAAAAAGTATACTTAAAGAGCACCAGAAAACATAAATAGAAACTGCTGGGAGTATCACTAAATAATTTAATGCCAACTTCAATTGTTGTCCTTTCCCTCAGGAAGAAAAGAGACAGGCAGGGTGGAGAGGGAGTCCATGCTACAGAGGGCACTGTGGGCAGGTCTGTCAAGAGTGGGAATTGGCAGAACCCCAGGGGCCTTGGACAAGCTCAGGGCTTTCAGAACTGCTGTGTGATTAGTGTAGACACTGAGGCCATGTGGTCACAGCAGGGAATTAATTACCTGTAGGAAGCCACCTCGTGTCCATGACCTAATTCTTAAGGGGGCTGGTATGTGGGCACTTCCCTTACTGTGAGCCCTCCAGATGGCAGCCTGCAACTACTTTCTCTCTGCACAGGTACCCATGAGGAGGTTAGGATTGTTTTAAAAAATTCTTAAAACATTCTATTTGTCTCTTCATCTAGACTTTAGTCAAATAATCTATCTTCCAAAACTCTACTGGCCCTTTTTTGAGCTCTAACGCCAGAACTGCAGGCACTTTATGACAAGAGCCCTCTTCAAACCCATAAAGGATCTGTGTGTTCTTGAGTCCAGTGACCTTGGTGGCTTTGTTTAATAGTGAATACAAACTGATAGACCTTTCAATAATGAGCCAGTTCAAAGGTTCTAAGTCCCCAGTTGATGCTTGTCAGGAGTATAAATGTCACAGAAATGTTATTTCAGTGCTTTGACTAACCCAGGAAAAACACTTCCAACCAAGCAGGATTCTGAAAGCTGAGGTTCAACATATAATTGCAGGTGTGGCAAGAAACCAAACCCAATGAAATCAAAACTTTTGTTCAAATTTTAGTTTAAAAAACCAGGGCAGGGATCATGATGTAATAATACCTGAGAAATATGTGCTGAAGCTACTGGTCACAAATATGATTAAATACACTACTTTGATGTGTCTTTCCTGTACTGATGGCTCAGGACTTGAGCCAGGGTAAGCTGAGTGGTGGGATGTTCTGAACCTGGGACATCCTGTACAGTAGCTAACCAAGGCATCTGCTTGTCACCGCTAACACAGCATGCAGAAACCAAACCATGCTGCAGGCCCAGAGAGTATACTCGGCAGAGAAGATGCTGTTCAAATGCCTTTTCTAAATTGAAGAAAACATCAAGCATAAGTTAGTAATAGAGACTGATGAGTTTCATTTCCTAAGGGGAAAAGTGGTTTCACAGAGTAACAGGTCTTAAGAAAATGGGAATGCAAATAAAGTTCTGAATACCACAGCTTTGGGAAGGTGGGAGCTAACCCACAACTGGAGGTTAAGCACTTTGAGCAGATGCTAGCTGTAGTGGAGATTGCTAAGGACAATACTTCGCATCTTTCAAGAGAACACATCATTAAAATGAAACCCCAAAACAGCAAGCCTCTCTCCTCTAGCACTCACATTCTGGCCATCTCTAGCTCGGCTGCCAATCTAATTGGACTTGAAGTGCTGCCTCCAGGAAAGTGACTCAAGAACCAGCTGGAGCAGAATGCTAATAAGCTGGTGGGGGAGGGAGCCAGGGAAGGAAGAGGACAGAATAAAACAAAACCGAAGACAGGAGAATAGACCTATAGATAACAGCTTATGATGATTTTAAGAAATAAGAGCAGTTCCTTGGACAGGCAACCATGACTGTTTCCATTGCTGGAAGCAGCCTGTAGCCAAGAAAGATTTGAAAAATAAGACATTATTCACACATAGTTCTCTTTAAACTGAACATACTTGCAAAATAAAGTAAAATGCACAGATGTGTAAGAATGAAAATGGGCATGGCATGGTAAAGAGCCATTTTAATAGGAGTGCTTACTTAATTTCCATTCTCATGAGTGGCTACTGAAGGCACCTTTCCCAAAGGAAGACTCTTTGTTTGGGGTCTAGTAGGCTCACAGATACCATTTGGGGATGAAAATAACTAACTGCTGGATCAATCAAGCAAAGAGGTTGGCTTTTGAAATCTAGGTTTGGGATACTTGTTTTTAAGCGTGCTGGCCTGAGGGAGCACCTGACAGTCATCACCAGGCATCAACAGACAACCCAGGTCCTTTTCCAGACAGAGACACACTCCCGGATACAAAAAAAAAAAAAAAAAAAAAAAATTGATGTTAACATTTATCTTTATAAGCAAGGAGGATCTGGCAAACGGCTATGAAGACTCCATCTGAATAACTATTTAGATTAGTAAAGCTAACAACTTTGAAAGGTTTAAAAAATGATTTCACCCTTGACACACTGTATAAATACAAAACAGCTCTGTTTCTGAATCTTTTAAGGGAGGTGTATGCCTATGGTGTTTTTTTCTTTGCCTTCGATTATTAGAAGGTAAAGGAGGAAAAAGCCTTTCTGCCAGAGCTGATTATAGCTTTATTACTTAATTTTATTCTATCTCAAAAACATCAGATAGCTTGGAATAATTTTAAGGCCAATCACAGGGAAGAAATGCACTCTACTTAACAGGGAGTGACCAAATAATTTGACTCCATCTACCAGGCTCACCATACATCTCAAAGAACTCCAATACAATGCTGGGCAGTGTTGGTTACTAGAAGACTGCAGATGTGATGGAATTCTTTCTCTTCCAATAACAACAGCTGCCCCTTCCACTGTTTAAAAGGTTATCTCAGTCCCTTCATCATTTTCCAGCAAAGTCAATCAATTATTCTTATTGGCTTATTGGGATGATAAAATAGCAGGAATGGGAACTATTTCTTTATTACGGAATGAGATATTTTACCTTATCCTTGAAAGATCAAAGATGAGGGATGATTACTTTGTTAAAAAGAAAGAAAATATGATATCTGATAAAAAACATTTCTAAATTCTTCTAGGTAGTCAATTAGTGTTAAGTGAGTTTTCTTTTCTCTTATAACTCTTTCAAGACACCAGTGAATAGGTCATCTTTACTTAACAGATAACAGTGAGGCTGAAACACTTGCATTCTTTGGAGATATGCATCAATTTACCTGTGCAAAATCAGCAGCAAGTCGCATTTTCCCACCTTCACCAAGAGGTCTTATGAGACTGGCATTGCGGATAAAAAGTTCAATGGCTCTTTGGGCAATAGCTTCAGTGTTGTCAAAGACAAAATCCAAGCATTCGAAGTGCTTAAAGTAGTCATTCATAACTCTGGCAATGAAACCTTGTAGCTCCTTCATGTACAGAGAACAAGGAACATCAGGCTTTCCTGAGCTGGATAATGACCTGTAAAAGAATAAAAAATTCAGCACTAATGCTTTTGTTTTTTTCACCCCCAGCTATTTCAATCCTGCACAATTTTTCCCCTCGATGGTACAAAGGTACCATTTTTGTTGTTGTTTTGCTAAGTGTTAAAGAACATAAAAAAATGTTTAAATTATACTCTTAAGTCTGTGCTTAAACACTATGTGGATTACTGAAGGAATTTCAGCATGCATTTGCCTAAAAGATTAAGAATAAAAGACAGCCATCTGTCTTAGATGAATCAGACTGTGGCTCTTAAAGTTTCTCCCAGCTCCCAGCTCTCCATCTACTCCCATGTTTTGCCTGGAAAGTGAATGCATCAGTAATAGATTCTGAAATGGCATTTTACACTTCGTAATGGCAGAAAATGCTGCCCTCTCCCAACAAATTCTTGGGGGCAACCTCTCTACACTTGTAGTTTAATCAAATCAGTCCAATAGCAGCACTCTGACTGAGGAACTGGTTATGTAACAATATACGAAGTATGCAATTTTTTCCTCCAGATGATGTTTGGAAAGCCTTTAATTTGGAGCAGCAGATGATGCCAGCTGATGCTCCAAGATATACTATTTATAACTTATAAATGTTTACAATTGCCCTTTAAAGACTATATTAAAAGAATATGAAATATTTATAGGGAGGAAGAATTAGACCAAAATTAGAAATCACCTGATCCTGGCTAATAGATGAGATCACTGACTATACAATATCGAATCTTTTCTAAAAGGCAAGGGAAGTATTTCCAAATTCTGAGAATGATGTGGAGAAACTGTTGATGGTTTAGAGATGAACAACAGATATGACTGAAATTCCTAGTGCAAGAGAGTAAGGTGAACTTGATGATCTTCTGATATAACAATGGGTATTAGGAGTAGGGCACTGACCAGAGTCCTCCACTTCCAGAAGCAGACAGAAATAGAGAAACTAGGCTTTTGGCCTAGCAGGGAGGATTTTATCCAGATATAAGAGAGACTGTCCGGGGGCTGGAGAGATGGCTCAGTGGTTAAGAGCACTTGCAAAGGACTCAGGTTCGATTCCCAGCACCCACATGGCAGCTACAAACCGTCCTTAACTCCAGTTCCAGGGGAATCCAAAGCCCTCTTCTGACCTCTGTGGCATTGCACGACATGGGTGCAGTCATGTACATGCAGGCAATACACTCATACACATAAAATAAAAATAATAAATAAAATATTAAAAAAAACAAGAAAGACTGTCCTAACAACAGCAAGGCCATTGCAAGGTGTATGGTGCAGCATTTCCCTGTTCAGGCATTACTGCAGGCTGGAGTGTTGTCTGAGCAGAAGGCACACTGGATAAATGATGGTGGTCTCCACACTGGGTTTGATTCTGCCAGATTTAGATTGCTGCATGGCCCATTTTTATTCAGGTATCAATACAAAGAGCTAAACTGAAAATAATAAAATATGGTACCAATATTTTTCAAATGTATTTATCTATCTGTTGGACAAACTGCAATAGCATATAATCATGTCATATAGCAATACAAAGAGTGATATTATATGTATATAATGTGGAACAATTTAAACAAATCAAATGAATACATGTTTCACTGTACATTCTTATTATTCCTCTTGTCTAGCTGCAACTGTATACCATTTTACCAACATCAACACATTACCCCAATTCTACTGTCTGCTTCTATGAGTACTGTTATTTTAGATTCTGCACCAAATTGAGAACATGAGGTATC